ACATTGCCATATCAGCGGGAGGATTTGGCTAGCCATAAAACCAGGTTCAACCCACCATTTTTTCTTAAAATATTCCGTACCAAGCTAGTGACATGGCATTCGTTGTCAACTAGTCAGTTTCTATATATGTTGGCGTTTGTTTTTGTTGCAGTTTAATGTTTCTGTCGTTCCGTTGTTTTCCCCTAAAAGTTGATGTGTTTTCCTCGGTTTTTTGGTTTGTGACCCGGGTTTGTTTACGCTTAATCGATTTATGACTATTGAACAGAGGTATACTTCTGTTGCCTTTTTTGTCCATCTATTGCATCATCCACACATATAGATTAATATACGTCATCATGCGTTCGTCTGTATGATGTCTACATTTAAGCATTATCCACTAGTATTTTCCAATCAAATTTGCATGAACTCTTGGAACCATTATATGTTGCAGATGTGTACCATGCATTTGATGTGTCTCCATTTTTCACTGTCTAGTACTTTGCCATTTCAGTGTAATACAATCTAAGGAAAGTTTTGTGTTTTTATTGGCTTCTTCTTTTTAACTACTTGATAATTTTTAACATAACTTGAAAGAAATCCTCAATGGAAACCTTTAAAATGTCACTTTCAACGTTGTCGTGTTCTTGTTTGACTCGATAACTTCACCTTTAAAGTGACTGAAATATTTGCTCATTAACACAGGGAATGTAATGATAGATCCCAGAACAACATTTCTGTTTTTAACGGTGTACACACATTTTGTGTTTTTTTTTATTTGTTACTGTTAGCAAAACAATGACAAACTGGATAATTGTTTGTTCAGGTAGTTCTTTTAAATAGTATAAAAACCGATTATTCTATTCAACTTGACTTGGTACTAGTTTTGTGAAGCAGAAAAGGACACTGGTTATGAAAAAAATAATTTTTTGGGACATTGCATTAAAGTCGAGTACAGAAAACAAACAGATTTTCCACAGCTCTATAGTTTTGGAAACAATTACTTCGGATATTAGGCTAAATAAATAGCCCATAATATTGGTGTTTGAAAGAATTTTCCAGTTATTGTGTTACATAATGTGACCTATGATCAGATTCGTGCACTTTTACAATTGTATTTCTAGTTTGCTGATTGAAAGTTTTAAGTTATTTTATGAATAAGAATTGTTGAAAAGTTTTAAAAAAAAAGTAAAATGTCTGTCTTTGACGTTTTCTTCATTTTGGTCTTACATTTTCTTTCAGTAACAAGTTTATGTTAATACATGATACTGAATGTTTTTTTTGCAGAGATCATTGTCAAATGATAACATATTTTGATTGTTGATAACATCATATTCTTTATCAAATTGATCCGACTTTGAATTTGTAGTTATTGCTCCTCAGTCACAAACACAATGTTTGGTAGTGAGAGCAAAAGGTTCCAATCTTGGAGTCAGAAAAGTGTGTCTGAATGGGGCGATGAGGTTTTTAAAGAATGCTACCCTGAGAGCGAACATATTAGTTATCTGACTAGCAGAGTTTGTCTAGTATAGATAAGGTATATTGATATCTCATGAACATATTGTAGTCTTTAATACGGATTAAGCAGCTAAGAATCAACATTCCAATCTGATGATCCTTTGTGAACTAATATTTTGAATTAATGTTTAAAAGCGCAATAATATTTATATTTGACTGAGACATACAAAGGTATATAGGAATAGAATTAACGTACATAGTAACGGTTTGTTCGATTGTCTTTTCAATAGCCATGAAACTTAAATAAATGAAGCATCTCCTTTTCTCACCATACAAAAAACAATGTTGTTTTCATTATATTTTTATTGGAGATAGAACATGGATTTGTCATTTGTGTAATACACTCATTTCCTGGACTGCTGAATTTGCTACTAATTGCTCATAGATTGACATCGAAGTCCATCAGGAATGTTACAATCCCAGATGAACGTAGACCCATTTGGCTTGGTTATATTAAATCGTCAAACTATTGAAACTATTTTTCAATACAACAGGAAAGACAAATAAAAAAAAACCCTGATCAATAGTTTATGTGTGTAGTGTTCTGCATTCAATATGAGTTTGTGTGTGGAATAACACATAACTACATTGTATTGTTGAAACTGTGTTGCTGCGTCATTTACATACAATTGCGGTTTGAGGCAACATTAAATATATGTGACATCATTTAAGCACTTTACATCATGAAGAGATGAAGAAAATATGTCATGACTTCCATTTCGAACAAATGCAATATTTAGCAAGGAGATTAATTCACATATTTATATATCTAATGATTTACCAGGATATGTTTGATTGTCCAATAATTGAAGTTTTAGTTATATTTGAAGTTTTGAAATCTAGTAAAATTGTGTGATTGTTTAGTGTTACATCATTTGCAAAAACCAAAATCATAGATTTCAAACTTAATGGTTAATGTGTCATTATTAGGAAAATATTATAACAAATGAACGAAAGCAATATGTTTTTTTTTTTTTTTTTTTGTTAATAAGATTTCCCAATTTCTCATTCTTTTAAAGACAATAAAAGATTAAAATAATTATTTTAGTTAAAATAACACATATTTCTGCATAACTGTAACTATGCATGCTACAGACTTCGAGTTGAACAGGCCATACATAGTTGCTATATAACTGAACAAATATGTAAATACCCCTGGATTTTCTTTAAAACATTGGTTTCCTGATGATAACCTCATTTCCTTATGAGAAGGAAATTAAAATCAAAATTGCTATGCAAAACGGTATTTACACAAATACCGAACTCTAAGTTAAATTCAAAACGTGTATACGACCTGACAAACTCAAATGTGGACCATATCAACCAACAAAAACGAATGAAATACAACTGTCATATTTTTTACCTGGTACGACATTTTTCGAAGCTAAACCACACACTTGTATGACTTTTATTCATACTTCCTTTCTATTGACAAATTTTGGTGAGCAACCCAAATAGACATAATTAGTTATTGTGACAATAATTAAGATCCAGTAACCACAAAATGTAAACATATATCACAGACACTACTGACTAAAACAAAAACACACATATACAAATAAATCTGACATAGACGCCAACAATAAAGTTATTGCAGTGGCTAGTATTTTTCACAAAGAAGCCAACGAAAAGTTTATGTAGTTGATAATACAAACAGCATATCAAAACATAATGCCGTACAAGTATACACTTTTCCGATAAAGTAAATATTAAGTAAATTAAAAAAACAACTGTAAACAAAATGAAAACACCACTGTAAAAATATCTTGCGGCTGAATCGCACCTCTGAACCTACATGCACCAGGAGCACCCAAAGCAAAAACCTGATAGATGCACAATTATCGTGTCACGTTAAGAGCCAGACGACCAAAAGGAACATAATAACACAATGAAAAATATAGGGAAAACTTTAAAGTAATAAAACAAGATAATACATTAGATCAAGAATGATATACTCTGTAGCTGTGACTAAAGTTTTGAAGTAATATTCTTAGCAGGTGTTCAGATTTAAGATTGTCATAAATTGGGACTTTATATACTGACAAAAACGTCTATTATATTCAAACACAATTCTATAATTGTCAAAGTAAAGAATAGTTTTTTGAATGCTCATTGTGATCTTCATTATAGTGATTATTTTGTGACCCAGGACCCAATAAAGAATAGGAAAAATCGTAGCAGTTTGCAACATTGAAAGGGGCAATTTCAACGTTTACAGTTCAAGTAACATTTCAGATATTTCCAAATGACGAGCCAAAAGGTGGTAACGGTCGTGAATAGTAATTGGATTGAAAATTATTGAAATTTGGAATTGTTTGTTAGAGTATTATCTTTAATTTAGTCTGTATAGCTTGATTATGTTTAGTGGTAGCGTGTAGGCAAACATTTAGATCTATGGTGTTGCTACTTCCTGTTTGCTGATAGTTTGAAATTTAACCACGCTTTGTCCAAGACACATTTTTATCAATTTTTTCCTGGCTTCTATGATAGGACCTCAAACATATGATTTGGGCATCTGCTCAAAGGTCTATTGTCATTTTTTTATCACTTAGCAGATAATGTCCAGTGTATATTTTTGTTCAGTTGCCTGGGCACAAACGCTCAGTATGTTAGTACACCTAAAAGTGTATTGTCTGTAGATTTTTCAAAACTGTTCTCAACTGTAACAAATTTGCCAGTTGAAAGGAAACTTGACCTGCATGCTTTAATGTCTTCTTTTATTTATTTGGACCACAATATAAATTCAACATGGTTGCAAAAATTAAACATAAATCACTAACAGAATAGAAGTCACCCTCACATGAAATTGACATCAATTTTACATACTGAACTAGCTACTTACAGAATCATAATTTACAACAATCTTTGAAATGATAGTTTTACAGTTACATTAACTCCAATCATTATTCGATGGAAAGAGGCTTGTTATAAAATTTATAACACGCCACTTAGAATAGCCGTCAGTTTTAGTTTGAATCATATCTATTTCATCAATTCTGTCAAAATGCTTAAGTGATGTTTCCCATATATTCCAAACGTTAGTAGCCTTGTGAATTTTGAAGGTCTATAGAAATGGATAAATGCTATATCAATACATATAAAATATTAGGTCAATATAATTTTTTTTGTTTATTCAAGCTTATAAACTGGGGAAGATTTAAGTTTACAGACTCCCTCTTCTATGTATATATCAGTAAACTAAACAAGTTTTAATTAGGATACTACTTTACTTTTTAGGATTATTTACATCATAATTATTCAATGATGTATCAAACAGAAGTCCATAAGTACATTATTGGTACGAACTTAGTAGTCATGAAAGTAAAGTCTTGTTTGTAAATGTTCAAATATATCTAAACCATAACTTCAGTTTTAAGTTTCATAGTTTGACACTTTAAATGAACGACATACACATATTATCACAATTGATTTAAATTTAGAATGATATTGTCATTGGATATTGAATACCTTACCTGTGTATTACACATTGCCGACCATTATAGCGATATAATGGCTCAGGCAGCCTCTAATAAATGCGAGATTTGTGTTAGTGCGTTAGGATCACGATACTGCTTAGACTGTGAACAATACTTTTGTAAAAATTGTGAAGCCTTTCATAAAAGGCAGAAACTATTGAAACATCACGAGTTTCAAGCTGCTTCTGACGTTATTCGGAAAGTAAAATCAAAATGTACCGAACACAAAGAAGACTTTAGCTTTCTGTGTAAGTCTTGTAATGTACCAGTATGTAGTACATGCGTAACTGACAAACACGATGGTCATAGATTTATCAAGCTATTGGACAGCATTTTACAGCTAAAAGAAGGGAACGAACAACAGCTACGTAAAAGGGTGAATGAGGCAACAAAAAGAATGAAGAAGTTTGAACAGGGACTAGCATCATTCGATGAAAAGATAGAATTTGTAGTCAAAGCTATAACAGATGAAGGCAGGAAAGTAAAGGATATGGTTGACAAACATATTGACCAGATGATTGCATATGTGAAGGATCAGTCACAAAAAGAAAGGGACAAGTTGACAAAGACAATAGCGAAAAACAAAGATGTTTTGAAGACTGGAGACATCTTAGATAATAGAAGTAAGGATCTTTACAAAACCAGAAACGATGACAAATTGATACATGCTTTGCAGAACGTATCTGATGAAATCGCCAAACTTCAAATAGCGGATATTCCCGAGTTTCCGATTGTTCAGTATACGACTAAATCCACAAAAGACAACGATATCAAACAATTATTTGGTTCATTTACGATAAGGTAAATAACTTAAGAAAAATAATGTGTTTAGCCATACATGCAATCCAGCTTGTATGTATAATCAAACAAATGTTTATCAGTGGTGTGTTTGGTGTGTGTTACAGTGATGAAAAGAACAATTGTACAAAGCTAAATAGTACTGATAAAACCTTAGGAAAATATTTGTAATTTTTTTTCTAAAGGGAACGGAATATGTCAATAAATATTGTTCCATCTTCAGGTTGTCATTACACCACACAATCACTTTTTTGGCAGTTTGCAAATTTTGTATTCTCAATCATTTACGATTGTCTGCTAAACCAACACAAAACAATTTGCTGTTTATGATTTTCTGAACAAACCAACACAAGAAGCCATGTTGAAACAATAATATAGTAGAACTTATTACTTTTTTCATACAAAATGACAACAGTGCATATTGATTTGAAAAATTTCTAAATTTAAAAAAAGAATGACTTTCAAAAACTGATGTAACGCGCGACTGGTTTATCAAATTAAAAACCCGATTTCTTATGAGTTATTTTACACTTTAAATATTTCGAAATAATAATTTTACATCCATTATTGCCTTAACGGGTACAGTTTATTCTCATAATAGTGTCGTCTCTTTTTCCAATCTATCAACTACCTGAAAAATTGGTACTGTACATCTTGTGTTCCTGTTTTGTCTTGCTTATTTGTTTCATTTTTTTGTTTGACTGTGTATACATTTTTTTCTAAATTTTATCATATAAATGACCAAACTTTCGGTACATTATGACTTGTCATTTGTGAAAATATTTCTAAACAATAAAAACATTTAGAGGCACAAATGAAACCAAGAATTAGACAAAACGAATAAGAACAACAATCCATCAAACAAACAAAAAATATATATTGAATACTAATTGAAATTATAGTTTGTGTAAAATAATACTAATAAAAGTACAAACACGGATATATAGAAATATTACATCTGTTTTTTATCATTTTGTACATATTTTGCAGAGAGGTAGACAACAGAAGCAACGAGTTGGAACCAGTAAAGAAGAGGTAAGCAACATCAATGTATATAATATCTATCAAAACTCACACAATTTTGTAACTTATCTGCGAACTTGCCATCGAAAATAATTCAGTGTTGTCATTTATATTGTTGATTTCAACTGTTATTCACCAAATATTGTTTTTTTCCTACATACTATTTTTTCTACGTTTAGTATTTTCCTTCGAATTTAAATAAGGGCATGTTATAATATGCATCTATTAAACTGTTTAGCAATTAAGAAATATATTTCATTTCAGTTGCATATTTTGCTCAAAAGGAGACCATACTTTAATGATATGGTTTGGCCTCGTGCATCACTGAATTGAAATATTTGTTTGAAATTCCCTTATTGTACAGTAAAATTGGTACAATGCATATTGTTCTCCTGTGTTGTCTTGCTTATTTGGTTTAATTTTTTTTATCAATTTAAATATAGTTTAAAAGAATGGCCAACACATTCTGTATATAATGATTTGCCATTACTGAAAGGATTTCGAAAATGAATAGTACAATAAGAGGCAAACATGTCAGCCAAACGGTAAAATAACAAAAATACAGAACTCAAAGGAAAATTCAAAACGGAAAGTCCCTTAACAAATGACAAAATCAAAAGCGCAAACACATCAAACGAATGGAATACAACAAATAACTTTTTCAACAACACAAAATGGCATATAGACAAAGTACATAGCAAAAAAAAAGACAAGAATACAAAAAAAAAAGACCATAGCACAATAACACAATACCGATCCACGCAAAAAGTGTATTACCAAAAAAGACTAAACAGTTAAGGTTAGAAATATACAAAGACAAATAAAAAGAACACCTTAATACGTTATTAAGATGATAAACAAAGTCAGTACCTAAAATCTATACTTCAAGACCATCATGTATTATTTGTGAAGTTGATATGGCATATTTATCAACAAGGTATCGGTATCTTCCGGTGAACCTTTTTAGAAAAAGGACGAGACGTTCTTTGACATATCCCTGGTTCATCAACTTTCTGCCAAGACACTGATGAAGTTTGATAAAGTCTAAGTAGCAGCTGCAAGCTCTTGAATACTGAATGAGTTTGGAAATGTATATCCCATATGCAGGTTAAGTTGGTTTATTGCTTTCAAGGTGGGGGAAATTTATAATTTCAAAATGAAGATCGTCTCATTTGTCATACATTCTGGTACTAAGATGACCGCTTATGTCAAATTCGAGGTATTAGTGTAAAAAAAAAAGAGAGAGGCAGTCGCGTCTGCTGTTTCTTTTAGTTCTAGTTCAGGAGTATATTTTAATGGAACCCAATTAGAAAAGTTTGGATTGTAAATGGAAAGAACATCATCAAAATATCTGAATGTGAAATTAAATGATCTATCTTCTTTGATCTTCTTGTTTTTGACAAGTGTCTGAAGGAACTCCGACTCATATGAAGAGGTCAGCAAGGAGAGGCGCACAGTTCGTTGTATTGGGAATGCCGACAATTTGTTGAAAAAAAGTAAAATAGCAAAAAAGTCTACCTCAATATTCAACAAATATTTTGTCAATAAGAAACTACAGCATACTGATCACTTGTTCATCTCTGTAGCATGTGTAACTTTTTTGTTCACTATTAACAAGATATGCCGTATGGTATTAAAAATCAATAACTTTATAGCGTATGCTACCATTTATTCTGAAAATGGTGGTATACAGGGTTACAAAATCAAACGTTTTGAAAGAATTAATTTCTGAGAAAGATCGAGATTTACAACTATCCAGAAGAGTTTTTTTAGAAACCACATATGGTTAATACCACTACGCAAGTAAATAGTTACACAGTATTTCTGCAGACCTTCTTTCACTGCGGACAGAATGCTTGTCAATTTAATGAACAATTCCTTTGTAGAACATGCAATGTACCGTTGTCTGTACGGTATTTTTTGAAGCTTAGGTATCCAACACAAACAAGGCAAGTCCTCAGATTTGCTGTTCAATATAATGTTTATTGAAGCCATAAAGGACTTGTGATTCGCCAAAATCTCATCCTTGTCAAATGATATTCTCTTGTCATGTATGTGGGATTACCTCAGTGATCATGTATTCCTTATTCTTTTACAAGACACTCGTAGTAGTACAATTTACATACAAAAACAATTTCATTTGAAGCTTTGTCCACAGGAACAACATATGTATCGTGAAGATAAATATAAAGTATTTGAAAGGAGTATACAAAAGAGTATACTTGTATAATGTGAATAGTTGTTGTATGTGTCTAGTTTTGGGGATCTGTGCAGAAACAAAACCAACATTTTTGGTTAACCTAATCCATGTGACGACTGAAATTGGGGCAAAACCACCCGCATCAAATAGTCCAGGTTTACAAAAAGAAAAATTATGTTTGCAAGAAACCACCTACTTCATGAGCTGTTTTTCCTCAAAACAAATTGTCTTATGGAGATGTAAACACACCTGAACTCTAAGGTCCACAAATTATCAAATATTTATCACAAATACCGAAGTACCATGAGCTCTGGTTATATTTTAATATGTGGGACTAGTATACTATAAATATATTATATCCTAGTTCATACTCAGGGAGGGTCACTGTGTTGTTTACGGATTTTGCTGTGAAATCAATTCCAAATGCTTTCAAATGATTGTTTGGGGTTCATGAATCACTGTTTTGAGCACTTGTATTCAATTCATTAGCAGACAATGTATACATGTAAAACTTCTTTTATAGTATTTCCACTTTTGACCACATCCATGTTTCGCATTTTTGCAGGACACTTTCTAGTGTAAGACATGGGTGAAATTGCTTCATACGCTACCAAAATGAAGATTGTTATCTATAATGTTCAATCTGCATTACAGAAATCGATTATTGTGAATTATATTGTCTTTTTCATTTCCTCGACGTCAAAAATTCCAAAACGGAATGAATTTGCAACAATGAAATGTAAAAAATATAATTCATAAAGCGATGAAATTGCAGTTTTCAATTATTCAGCTTTCCCTAAATGTATTTAAAGGAAATTGATTATTTCAATAATCACAATTTATTGAAATGGCTAATTACGACAATAAGCATGACTTACGATATCACTGCGCAACAACCTGCGCAGATGGCGCGAAAATTCAAACCCCGAACTTCCTTAATACGATAAACAACGTCAGTACCTAGAATATATTTTTCAAGACCATCATGTATTATTTGTGAAGTTGATATGGAATATTTATCAACACGGTCTTGGTATCTTCCGATGAACTTGTTAAGAAAAAACCTTCTGCTCAGACACTGGTGCTATTTTATAAGGTCTGCGTATAATTGAAAAATACTACATCTGGTTTTGTATTGATTTGTTTTTGTACACTTTTTGCAGTGAAATAGATACCAGCGTCAAGGTGTCTGAACCAGCAAAGAAGAGGTAAGCAACTTCAATGTAGAGACACACACACGTTCATTTGTATCTATAAAGAAGTCACTCCTAACTACCCTACTACCTGTCGATACATTTATTTTTGGCATTGCACAAGTCATGTCTTCTTTGACTGTTCATGACGTTAAGATACTAAATCCATGGGATGTATTTTAGTTGATTCTTTTTTTTTAATGCATGATTTTTTATTTTTAATTGTTATGGCTTTTAACTAGCTGTCAGTAACTGCGAGTACTCTCAAATCGTACTTTCTTTTTAATTTGACCTGTTGATACTATTTGTAATGCTTTTTTGTTATTTAATGTTAACATGGATTTTGTCTATATACCAGCTTTGATTATTTGGTATTACTACAAATTTTCACTTCTTCGTACTATGAACATCAAAATTATTTCATGTTTCCTTAGATGCTGTTCTTGGACCTGTACAGGAAGTTTTATCTAGCCCTAATTGTATAGTTTTATTGTTGATATTCACCCCATATGTACCAAGTGTTAGATTATTTTTTTTTTATATTACAGTAATTTCTTGGTATTCCTAAATGGAAGATTTTATACACACATAAGAGGAAGTATACCTAACAACAAAATTATTTTCATTTACCTGTGTATAATATGACGCAGGTTTCTTCAAAAGTGATGATTTTTCATTTCACAGTGATATCATACTTTAACTTTGTTTAACCTGTTTATTTACTTTTGACTTTAATTATTTATCCTTTGTAATTTTTCATTAACTGTTTATTTGCATTCAAGTGTCACAGGTCAAATTTATTCGTTCATTGTGTGTTAATTTACGTTTTTTATTAAATTAAGCCTTCCAATTGATATTTTATAGTGTGTTTTCTAATTTGTGATGTTATACTATTGTTTCAGAAAAGGGAGAAGGTTTGGTACCATTAAAACGTTTAATCCCGCTGCAAATGTTTGCACCTGTCATTAGTCAGGAAGTTGATTACAGTATTTGTCGTCTGTTTATGAAGTTCATATGTGTTTCTCGCTTCTCGTTTTTTTATAGATTAGACCGTTGGTTTTTGCGTTTGAATGGTTTTACACTAGTATATTTTGTGGGGCCCTTTTTAGCTTGCTGTTCGGTGTGAGCCAATGCTCCGTGTTGAAGGCCGTACCTTGAACTATAATGGTTTACTTTTATAAATTGTAACTTGGATGGAAAGTTGTCTCATTGGCACTCATACCACATTTTCCTATATCTATATAATATCTATCGAGAAACAACACTTACACAATTATGTATCTTTGTATGTATCTGCGTACTTACAATCAAAACACATTCAGTGTTGCCATTTATACTTTTGAACCGAACTATTCATCACCAAATACTGTTATCTTTTCGTATTAGTATTTTCCTTTGAACTATTAAAAAGGGCATGTTAGAATATGCGTATATTGAATTGTTTAACATTGATCGATGTATTTCATTTCATTTTGAATATGTTATATAAATAAGGAGATGTGGTATGATTGCCAGTGAGACAACTATCCACCAATGTTTAAATGAAGTTAATTTAAGCAATTATGTTGCTTATTTGAGTAAAGTTACTTATTTAATCATTCAATCATTTTAAAAACCGTTAATCAAGGAAAACATGTGTTCAATTGAATATGACATTGCACATGTTAATGTGTAGGATTTTTAAAAGGCTACATTTTATCATCTGCCTCAACAGGTTAAATAAATATGATATACACAAAAATTAAACAGAAAAAAATGGTCTTGGAATTCATTGAAATCGACATCATGCACCTTTTTCTACCAAATGATATGACAATGACTACGCAGACACACATTCAAGAGTTTGGACCAATAATTGAAGTTTTTGAAAGTTAAAGGTATCCTTGCATTTCATATTGCATAAGCAAAATACGATAAAAATAGGCAACAATAGTTTGCCTATGTTCATATCTCATAAATCGTTGTTATCGCATGAATTCCAAAAAAGAACTAGACCAAAAGCGTTGACAGTTTAAGAGTATCCTGCTATTGCATGCATCTCATGTGGGGAGAATCTACACTCAGTCAAAACGTCACAATCGAGAATAGGACACAATCGGTAGAAAATACATATTAGACGATTATTTTGGTATCTTAATAATCTGAAACTGCGAAAACTAGTCGCTTGTGAGATGAGACACTGTTATATCCTATAGGGCAACCGATTTATAATGCTGACTGTTAAACGTGTAATGTACCGATTTCGTTGTTCTTCCTCATAACTTTGTTTGAATTTTGTTTGTGTGAATAGCATATGCATGCTAATAAAGTCTGTATTTTTACAATATATTGGTGTCTGCTTCAAAAACCAACCTCTTTTAAACATCACATCATGTTGTTGTAAAAGGAATTACTAACAAATATTTTTCTTATTTTCAAGAAAACAAATCATGAAAATACCACTTTATAAATCGTCTGTATCCGACGCGCTTTTACACCCTGTTTCACCTACATTTTGTACAGAAGTCCACAAAATTGCAGTATTTGTAACCAAACGCGATTCGTTTAGCCGGGTAAGGTATTTACAAACTTCAAGTTGGTTAAATGACGACTGGATTTTTAAATAGGCAAGAACTTTGGAATACATAGTTTTCGTTTATCATCTGTTGATATGTGTTTCAATAGAGCACTACACTCTTAAATTGTGCCCATTCTTGAAGTGTTCCGCTAATCTGTGTCTATTTCCATTTTAGAAAATCCACAGAAAATTCTTTGTAATTGTTTGTGCTTTTAAACCTGAATATTTGTTTTAATGTAATGAGGTATTGTTTAATTATTAATCTCGATATTTTGATTATTACATAACTCCATGTTCAAAGTAATAATTTATTTGACTTTTCGATATATATAGTAACGCCGGACTTGATGAACAACCCGTAGCGGAAGGAAGATACCTTTTCAGATGTGCCAAATGTGGGTAAGTTTCCTGATCTTATTTTTATAGACTTGTTAAATATTCAAATATCGAAACCTTAATCATGAACATTACATGTGCATATAAAATATAAATATGATTGTAAAAACGTATGTTTAAACATGGACAAAAAAACATTGTATTAAAATTAGAAGATCTGTAATTCCACTGAAGGAGAGAAAAACTCTTCGTTCTCGTGATGTCGTCTATAAAGTTTTTCGAAGGGATAACTTTAACTTCATCACTTATAACTATCTGTTAATTACCTTTCTTGAGAACAATTGCAAGCTAAATTTTGAATTATTTAGTATTAAAACACCATCTGTATCGGTAAATGATAAGTAGAAAAGCATAAATCAACTTCAGATATAGGGATTATTTTGATTTGTTTACAATCATTCACACTATTGTAAAAAGAGTATAAAAATAAGCAGGTCAGCGAATGATGATACTGATATGAAAAGATTGTTATTAAACTTTATATAAACATTATATACCAAACTTCTCACAATTACATTAAGGAAATTATTTTGCAGTAAATACAAGACTTTGTTTAAACAATATGGCACAAAAATTGTTGTTCAGCTTTGAATTTCAAATAAATTCTAACATATTAGGTGTTAACCACGGTGAAGAATCGTATATACAATGTCCTTCGCTTTTACATAATGTTGTTTGTCGTGCGATACAACATTTACTCTTTCGCGGCGGTCTTATTCTAATATTTCAAAATGAGAAATGTTGTATCGCTCTCTATGCAGTGAGTCAATCTATTTGTAGATACTTACGTACACTCGTGTTCTCTTATTTCGTACAGATTTTCAGTAATAGATGTTTACATGAGGTGAACAATAGCAGTTTTTTTGGCACAATTGATACCAAATCAAACGACTGAAACTGGATCAGCATTTGTTTTTGAACTATTCAGTTGTTAAACAATGTGGATAAGGTATGACTTATAAATATGTAACTGACAGTTTTGATATTTTTGATCTTTCAGAACGGAGAAAGGATATCATAAGTAAGTATACTTTCGTATTTTGTTTGTGACAAATCTTTATTGTATGAAAAAATCATCTACTGGAAGGTTTTGAAATGTATGTTTAGCACTTACTTTTTCGGAGAATAGAAATGTGCAATGTCTGAAATAAACGATAAATCAAACAACATCTTCAATGCAACGAACACATTGGAGTATTGTTTTAAACACTTTCAGCATTCTAAATGGACATTTTTCTAAACAAATGAACTATTGTTAATAACAGACAAAACCAAATGCTTCTTGTTTATGCATTGTAATGTTGGGTAAGGTTTCTTGACATTGCAATCGCATATGTGCACTTCTTGTCAAGTAACCGTAAATAAATGGACGCCGAAGTACATGCACATTTAAGAGAGCAAATGATGCCAGTAGGTGTAATACCTTTTGATATTTTATACTGTTTGACTTGTTTTGTATAGAATTGACTTTGTTTTCACTTTGTTTTTTTGTTCCTGAACTCTTTTTTTTTTATTAGGAATTGTTATTCCTATGATCGAGTTAAAAAGGGTGAGAAGTTTTGGGATTTTTGAGATCACGAATCCGCACCATATTTGTGTGGCAGATGTTCAAGTTCATAACCTTAGTTTTTGACTTAATAGTAAAATGTTCAAGTCATTTGAGAAACTGAGTTGATTGGCCTACCTAGTATACCAGTAACTACTAAATGTAATAGGATATTTTCAAGGCTTTAGGCGAGTAAGAGTCTATTATTGCGCTGAAATGTTTAACGTTTATTCAAAGTCATAGAATAATTCACATTTAGCATAAGAATAAATAAGTTTTATATGTTTTATATATCAGAATGGCTATTTTCTTTATCATAAAATACGTGTACATATTTTTGTTTTAAAGGAAATTATTTTTATAGAAATTATATATAGAAATACGGCAATCGCACAGCATTGACAAAATAATCAAACATGGAAAGAAGATAGTATTAACTGATTATGAAACAAAATGTTGAATACACCAGATTAATTACAACTGTTTGACATAAGCAAATGAGAACGCACATTAGAAATCTTCAAAAAATGTGAAAAAAACATCGCTTTATCTTCTCACTTATTTTAACATGATCACCGTACTCAATATCGGTGATTTTTTATCATGGTCAAGGTTGGTAGATGTTCTAAAAACACCCGAAAGTTAATCAACAGTCAAAGTTTTCAATATCACTTGTATATTATTGTATTAATTGTTAATGATTTCTTGTCATGCGTATGCTTGATGCATTTGCCGCTAGACGTTTATCAACAACAATCAATCGTAATCAAATATGAGACGAAATCATTTTTTTATTTGAAAAACTAAATTCAGTATACTTGATATCTATATGTAATCTTATCAACAACAATCAATCGTAATCAAATATTAGAAGAATTCATTTTTTAATTGAAAAACTAAATTTAATATACTTGCTATCTATATGTTATCTTATGTATTTAATACGCAATGATGATAAGATAAACGTATTTCATATATCATGAATTAATTTAAGAAAACAAAAGCCAACAAGCATTTTGAGATAGATGCAACAATTGAGCAATGAACAAGAAAAATATGAAAGTTAATAACATTGACTCACCCTATCAGGACATGCTAGAATCTAATCACCTGGACATTAAACTGAATTTAAGATATCATTTTATTACATTACAACGTCAACAACATAGTATTGGAAATTCATAGAGATTTCGTCTGTATTTGTCATCTCAAGGCCTTGACGAAGCTACGTTGTTAGTAAATATTACGTTACATAAGGTATTTAACAAAGATATCGCTGTTTCACTACTGTGTACTTCTTCAGGAAAAAGGTATTGAGACTACAATCTATTTTTTTGTTGCATCGGATATGTCGTTGTCTTCTTTTGTTTCATCTGATACGTTGTTTTCTCCTCTTGTTTCATTTACTATTTTGTTTTCTCCCTGGCCAGGATTTCTTATCCTGGGTAAATTTTGAATAATATCATAATTACGGTCGTCTTTAAAAACGATTATACAGTTACTATAGATATTAGACATTTGTGTGTGATTATATCACGAAACCAATCGACGAACATCATTGATAAGGTTTACAATATAAAGTACACTGAGGATTAGTGATTGCGATATATGGCCGAAATTCGTCATACATATTTATAAACGGGTAGTTGAATAGTATGAAAATTCCGATAATCTCTTGTTTAAAACGGAATATATAGACATGTAATTTAAACAGTGATAACACATCATTGATCTTTCATCTATTGACAGTAATGATTGATATTTAAATTCAATAAATTCATGCTAGGCCATATGTTAATTATATTGTGGTCAATGTATTTGTCAGAAGAATATAATTTTCAGGAGGTGTATCTGTTGAATTATTTGGTCTTTTATGTGGCTTACCAACGCTTATTTCAATTTCATCATCGGAGTCTACAGTTTGGCCCTGTGCTGCATCTCTTGGTCGGATATTTATTGGTTGAAAGTATAAACGTGATTATATTAGAATCAGAATGTGCAGAAAAGACAGGTTGCAACACGTTCGATCCTTTTCAAATAATCGAGCCAGTCTGAACCCTTTGTAAAATCACGAAAATCAACAGTTCCATCAGACGAATCAAGGTCGCAGTTATTACATTAAATGTCAACTAACTTACTATAGTATGAACCTTTACTCGGGATAGTTGTTGGACAGTGACCGATAAGTACAGTTACTATCCGATTTCTGTCGACACGAAGATTTTCCTTTGATACTTACTGTTTAGGTTCAATTATTTTATATTGTAAGTCTACATTGTAGGACATTGTCATTACTCTACAGTCGGTTATTATAGGATTTCACTCATGAAGTTATTCAAAATCTCGTTGATTTAACCCTGCAGGTTGATATTTTCCTTTTTCTCGTTCTCGTTTCCTCTCCGTTGTTATTCTCGTTTTGACTTGCTATTTTAGAAGTGGTCGTATCATATGATCGAAACCATTCACTGAGAAGCATTTCCCGTGCATTGTTTGCTGAACCTAATATTCATGAAATTTAATTTGTTGCAGTGACCATTCATCGTTAGATCCCTGGCGCTGCGATCCATGTTCCTCTTTTAGACACTTGTTTGTCTCTTTCAAAATTTGGTTTTTATTTCTGAAAAACATGCATAAGGTGATATTACCAAAGATGAGTGAACTGCGGTATTGTAAATACTTTGTAAATCTGAATTTTGTATGCGCTGACTTGAACTGTATATTCATTTGATGATTACATTTTTGCAGAGGCGGGTAACAGCACATTTAAACTCTAAACCTTGGTAACTTTGAATTATGTTGGGGTTTCTAAATTCCGAGTACATATCACTTATCTAAAAACAAGCAACTGTTTTCGAGCTTTAATCAGATATTGAACGAAACGACACAATTTTACTGTAAATATGATTTTTTGACAAAGTATATTTATAAGACACAGCGTCTTTCTCTACTATGATCTTCCGCATTTCCGCAAGCTCTTCTTTGAAATTTGTTTGGCCTCAACGGGAATAAGTGGTGGTCTATTTGAAGCAAAAATATCATTTTTTGTCTCTTTAGACTTTAAATGCTCTCTGATTTCAAAGTATTGTTCTTTTGTTTGATGATATAGTTTTGTTGCCCAATCAGCTTTGCTCATATTGTAGAATATTTCTATTCTCTTATCTTTTTCCTCCCACGTCAGGACAATTTTCCCATTAATTGTAATCCTGTTCATGTGTTTCCCTTGATAGGGATTAATTGCATTTTTTCTGGACCACTTCTCTCTTTTGTTTTCTTTATTGCGTCCCTCCTTAACAAAAAATTCGTTAAAATTATATATTATAATTAAATTAACTTAACTTAAGAGTCATTCTTCTCTATCCTTGAACATGATTACTATTTATTCATTTTGTTATCGAGAAACAGTCTATGAAGATAAAAAGATTATATAGCAAAGCTAACTATCTATAAAACTAGCAATAAATGTGCCAATGGTTGACGTTATATTTCAATAAATGCAATTATTTTCTTTTTGTTTATTGCAATTTAAAGAAAAACCGGAAAGATTATATTCAAATGAGTATGTACGGCCAAATGAGAATAGCGTACTGCATTATGGTTTAATTATACAGCAAGGAAAGCATCATTATAAAATAAGGCCAATTTCGATTTATGTAAGCATAAATGGTAGTTTATTTTTTGTCTCTGGTTAAAGTTGTCTCATCGGCAATCATGTCACATCTTTTTACACATTCAATTTGAATTGTTCCTTATGACACAATGGTGTTCAGGTTCAAAATTTTAAAACGATGTCGACAATTAAACTGAAATGGTAGTGATTGTTAACAGGCTGCCTGATTCAGAATATCAAAATAGAATTTCAATTATAAGATGTTGCCTAAATTTTGGACCAGTAAAACTGGACTGCTTCATGATAAAATAAAAGTATAATAAATCAAAATCTTAATCATACACAGAAGTCCCTTTTTGATTCTTATATTCTAAAATATGATCGAAACATTGAATTGACTTGTGAATTTACATGCATGTGACCGGTCCGTGTAACACTTAACAATTCAAAATTAAAAAGTTATAAATTTTTATTTTTTTTTTATTTTTGATCAAAGTTTTAGAATATCAACATTCCAAATTTTTGTAATGCTTTGTAATTTTGAAAATTTCACTAAATAATTAAAATTTTAAATTTCTAACATTTGTTTTAAAATTTTATAGTTAAGATATTTGTTCAAACATTAATACTAAACTTGACGTGCAGTTTTGATTATATCACTTTTTTGAAAGTTTGAATTTGATTACGAAATTAAAAATAGAAAAACGGGCGAAAATAGAACATATGTATCATGTATGGCGTTTTGGGAACCTGTGAAGTGCGAAACGAAATAAAAAGGGAACAAAACGAAACAAGAAAAAACGAAATTTGCCTAAACGAAACAAAACGAAATATGACGAAACGTAATGAAATGAAAATAAAATTTTACTTAAAAGTTACTGTACAAAATAGAACAAGAGGTGCACGGATTTAAGCGGAGAAAAATTTAATAAAATTTAAATAGTTGAAAACTTAATTTCTTTAAACAAATTTAATTTGCAAACAAACATTTTTAGGTGATTGATATGTGGTTGGTTTACGTCCAGTAGCTTCATGCATTTTCGGGAAGATAACTAATTAATAAAAACTACAATATGTAGGTCCTGTAATTGGGATGACGGTCTGTTAATAAGAACTGCCAATGGAAAATAGGGGTATATTGGATAGGACCTAAAAGAGTTGTTGCAAGGGTTCTTAACGGACAAAGAGCGTGACACTCAAACGGACGCCCCACTTTGACAAGGGTTTTACTGCCGGTTTAAACAGGACCTAAGTATAAGAATAAGAAGATGTGGTATAAATCCCAATGAGAAAACTCTCCACAAAAGACCAATTGACACAGAAAATAACAATTATAGGACATCGTACGGCCTTCAACAATGAGTAAAACCAATACCGCATAGTCAGCTATGAAAGGGCCCGACATGACAAATGTAAAACAATTTAAACGAGAAAACTAACGGCCTAATTTATGTACAAAATAATGAACGAAAAACAAATAAGTTACCACATTTCTATTCCCAATTCTCCCTTGTCGGTAAACAATTTAAGAAAGATTTGTTATAAATCACCTCAGACTAAAAATACAAGCTAGATATACGAAAATACCTCTATAAAACTAACAATAGTGTGTCCTATCCTAAAAAAAATACTAAATATTCCTTTTTTACAGAAACAGCAGAATTATTTAGCAAATGTGAGGCCCAAGTGGCAAAAATAGAGGAAAATACATAACCCTTGGTCATAAAACAGATAATCGAACCCGTAAAGGCTATAATTTTATTGATATAAAGGTCTTTTGTATAGACATTAATAACCTATCTTTGAAGTTATGCAAAACACAGATTTAAGCAGTCAGTTCTGTGAAATTTTTAATGAATTCATATATCAAATTGGTAACTTCAGACATACAACTTTTGCAGATATGACTTTGTTTAAACACCTCTAGTTCAGATATTGGCCAAATAATGTTATATATATGGTAAGAGATTATATAATTGTGAAAAGATTTCTAAACTGACCATTTGAGGCAGAAATTGTGACTATATAACTGGGTATACAGTAAGATGTGGTGGACTGGAAACACGGGCATGGTTGGATACTTTATGTAATCTTGAACGTTACGTTTATACTATTCTGAAATGCCTTTAATTTGTTATCAGAATAGTTTTATACAGGTTCTTTTTTTTGGAAAGGGGGGGGGGGGGGGGGGGGGGTATATAATATTTATAGATGTTTTGTTTTGTTAACCTACTGGTTCCCAGATATGATATCTATGTTTCATCTCAAAAAGACACAAATGGGGAAAGTTACTAGTAAAAATACAATTCGAAATTCGCTGTTATCTTTTGATTAATTGTGTATAACAAATAGTTCTGAATAAATTATATTAAAAGATTAGCTTCTTTTAATGATTTTTGTATAAGTAATCTGTTTTAAGCAGCTTTTAATAGATTTATAAAATATTTTCTTTTAATAGATGTAAGACCTTAAAAAATTTCAGAATACTGATATCTCGTGTGATGTTAAATTTATTTTAAAAAATACAACCTCTTCTTTAAATTATTTTGTTTTGCAATTAAAAATATTACAATTTGTTTCGTTCATTTTTTTGTTCCTACTTAAGAATGATATAATCAAAAGTGTTTCTGATTTTAAAATTATTCCTACGCTTTAAATAAATTTTATTTTTATTCAATTTTTCTCCGCTTGGATCGGTCTGCTTCTTGTTTTTTTTTCACATTTACTGTTAAGTACAATTTAATGTTCATTTCTTTTCGTTTTGTCATATTTTGTTTGGTTTTTTTTTTTTGTTTCGTTTCGTTTGAACAAATTTCGTTTTGTTTTGTTTCGTTTAATCAGTTTCGCACTGTACAGGTACCCCCAACGGGATAATGATACATATGTTCTCTTTACATTTGTTTTCTAATTCTAATTTCTTCATAAAAAATCAAAAAAATCAAACTTTCAAAAAGCGAAATAATCAAAATTACACATTAAGTTATTTAATTAAATATCTAAATTATCAAATTTTAAAACTAACTTAAGAATTTGTAAATTATAATCGTTTGGCGGAATTTTCCAAATTTCAAAATAATTTAGAAAATTGGAATGTTAAAAAGATAATTCATGGGGGCTTAAATTTATCGTGATTTTACCACGGGTTGGCCCTTAACGCTAAATATTTTATCACGAGCGAAAGCGAGGGGTAATCTTTAGCATAAAGGACCAATCCGTGGTAAAATCAATATAAATCCAAGCCCTAATGAATTATTTCTATTCTAATAGGACAAAGACAGCAATTCTTTTGGATCGTAGCGCTCTATGTGAAAGGAAATGTTTGCTGTTACCGTAATTTAACACACTTTTAATATTGACGTAAACGCCGAAGAAAATTGAATAAGTGACATTCAAAAACGATATACAATAACATACTAAGACAGATTTAGATGAATTTAATTGACTAGCTTACTTTCAGTTAAGAAGATATGGACATTATACAAATTCTTACCATCTTTTGTTTGTGATTTCATGTTTTGACGACTTTCAATCAGTTTCACATTAGTGCATTTTCCCGTTAATCCTAACATTCTTACGTCATCGTTCAATGGCGTCATTTACATCATCTGACGTGAGGTATCTCATTCATAAAAGCATACGACGTGGGAGTAGGATTGGAACGGCCCAAACAAATCATGACGTTGCCTATCAGCTGACATATGAATATATTCGAATTTTACCACAGGTGTGTACTCAAAGCGTTTAAAGAACGTCATATTAGAAAAATATTTTAAAACTTTGATAAAAAATCCAAAGAACTAAAATTTTAAAACTTTTTAAAAATTTGAATTGTTAAGTGTTACACGGACCGTTACCCCATGTTCTGTTTAACTTAAACTTCATTTTGCCTGCAAGATGACATTCACTTTTTTAGGTATCTCATCTTACGTTATCCTTAATTAAACCTAATTGTTCTTGGGTTGCTGTATCATATATATAAATAATTATTTGGCAATCGCCAATGGCAGTCACCAGGATTTAAGAACATCAGTTGTTCGACCTGTTAGTCAAATGCGTTTTGTTAAAATATACTTTTTCACTTTTTTGGTCTTTTGGAAAATGCTGTTTGTGCTGTATTTAGACCCTTCTACAACTCATTTTTTTTTTACATGCACACGTATAAAAATTGCGTTTTGTATCCAATGCAATCATAGGTTTGAACGTAGTTTTCAATTTAGACTTGTTTATATTTTTTCGTTTGGGCTTGTATCATATTTTCCCTCCGGTTTATATGATCCGTTCATCCTATTTTGACTCTTTCAAATTCAAGAGTCTATTGTAAATTCAGGTAAATTATATGGCCTTCCAAATACCGTTTCGATACCTAACATCACTGAAGAGACATTTATTGTTGAAATCCGGATCTGGCGTACAGATATTTGCACCTCATGTTTGTGGCATAACATCTTTGCCGCAAGTTTATTGTTTTTTGTTTAGTATTTAATTAATATTAAGATCCATTTTGTTACATCTTGTGATCAATTTATTTGGCAATCGCCAATGGCAGTCACCAGGATTTAAGGACATCAGTTGGTTGACCTGTTAGTCAAATGCGTTTTGTTAAAATATACTTTTTCACTTTTTTGGTCTTTTGGAAAATGTTGTTTGTGCTGTATTTAGACACTTCTTCAACGATTTTTTTTTAGCATGCACACGTATAAAAAGTGCGGTTTTTATCCAACGCAATCATAGGTTTGAACGTAGTTTTCAATTTAGACTTGTTTATATTTTTTTTGTTTGAGCTTGTATCATATTTTCACTCCGGTTTATATGATCCGTTTATCCTATTTTGACTCTTTAAAATTCGAGTGTCTATCCTAAATTCAGGTAAATTATATGGCCTTCCAAATACCGTTTCGATCCTTCACATCACTGAAGAGACATTTATTGTCGACATCCGGATCTGGCGTACAGATATTTGCACCTCATGTTTGTGGCATAACATCTTTGCCGCAAGTTTATTGTTTTTTGTTTAGTATTTAATTAATATTAAGATCCATTTTGTTACATCTTGTGATCAATTTATTTGGCAATCGCCAATGGCAGTCACCAGGATTTAAGGACATCAGTTGGTTGACCTGTTAGTCAAATGCGTTTTGTTAAAATATACTTTTTCACTTTTTTGGTCTTTTGGAAAATGTTGTTTGTGCTGTATTTAGACACTTCTTCAACGATTTTTTTTTTGCATGCACACGTATAAAAAGTGCGGTTTTTATCCAACGCAATCATAGGTTTGAACGTAGTTTTCAATTTAGAATTGTTTATATTTTTTTCGTTTGGGCTTGTATCATATTTTCACTCCGGTTTATATGATCCGTTCATCCTATTTTGACTCTTTCAAATTCAAGAGTCTATTGTAAATTCAGGTAAATTATATGGCCTTCCAAATACCGTTTCGATCCCTCACATCACTGAAGAGACATTTATTGTCGACATCCGGATCTGGCGTACAAATATTTGCATCTCATGTTTGTGGCATAACATCTTTACCGCAAGTTTATTGTTTTCTGTTTAGTATTTAATTAATATTAAGATCCATTTTGTTACATCTTGTGATCAATTTATTTGGCAATCGCCAATGGCAGTCACCAGGATTTAAGAACATCAGTTGTTCGACCTGTTAGTCAAATGAGTTTTGTTAAAATATACTTTTTTACTTTTTTGGTCTTTTGGAAAATGTTGTTTGTGCTGTATTTAGACCCTTCTACAACACATTTTGTTTTACATGCACACGTATAAAAATTGCGGTTTTTATCCAATGCAATCATAGGTTTGAACGTAATTTTCAATTTAGACTTGTTTATATATATAAATATACATTTGTGCTTAAAACTTCACAAAAAAATATGTTCGCAATATGTATGAAACGACTTTCCGTATTCTATGCATAATGAAAAGGAATTCCTAAAATTAACACTACTTATATGATATGAGAACTATAAAAATAAAGAGTTTCCTTCATCGATCCAAGTATCTCTTCTAAAATAAAGTGGTGAATTACTCTCTTTTTGTAACAGCTGATTTTGTTTGCTTTCCATGTCATTTAAAGAATTAACATCAAAATACGGCGCTGTAGAAAAAACTGATTTTACATTATGCTTACGCGACAGTCTCCATTAATATGAAGGGGGAGTAGGAGTGTCAGACCCTTAGTTTAGACTTATGATATAGATCATATATGAGTTATATCACCTGAGCGCTTTGGTCCTGTACACCATAGGCCACTGCCGTTTATTGTCATCTGGTGTGAACAAATAGTTTGCCTTGGAAACTTTTGAGACACTCTGACAAGTAGGGGATAGAAGTGTCAGACCCTTAGTTTGGACCTTTGATGTAGCCAATCCGCGTGTTGCGCAACTTGAGGTTTTTGGCCAAAATAGTCGGTTTTTCACTAGCTTTTGTTTTCATCTATTATAAACAATAGTTAAGCCGTATGGAATATTTGAGACACTCCGGAAGATAATAATCATTTTGTAAATTCCATGCGGCCGGGGCACTTTTCGGAGATTATACTCAGCAGGTACATTCAAACCAAATCATGTGAAAGCAAGGGATGTGAAAATACTCTTAACCGTTAGGAACTATTTGACAAAAAGGGACCATAACATAATGCTTGAATTTATCTAAGCTCAACTAAAGGTGAAGCTTTGACACTTTATGTAAAGCATTCGTGCGTTGTTCGACCTGAGCCCATTTTGGCTCAGTGGACCTGAGTCGACTAACTTTTATATGTACCTAGTTTGGGCACAAGTTTTGTCGAATTTATAACGAATTAAATTCGTGAAAAAGAATCTGAGGAATCTAAGATATCACATATTTTGATAACAGATAACATTCGGTATCACAATTTTTCGAATTTTTGTGGACCAAAAGGACAG